TTATGTGTCATTGAGTCACCTGCAACTCATAGCGACCCTATGTACAACAGCCTTAAACCCTGCTCTATCCTGTGCCAATCTTATTGTCTCTGATACACTTACCCCCATTACCTCAGTCACTGAATTAATCCATCTCATCGAGGGTCTTCCTTTCCTGTGCTGTCCCTCCACCCTCCCAAGCATGACATCCCTCTCCAAGGTCTTTTCCCTCCTTGCAACATGTCCAAAGTATGTGAGATGAAGCTTCAGGATCCTTGCCTCCAAAGAGCAGCCTGGCTTCACCTTCTCCAAGATGAACTTGTATATTCTCCTAGCAGTCCAGTGCTATTCGCCTTTAAATTTCCTTGTTGTTGGTACCAAAAGTGTTGATTGTAGAGCCAAGCAAACTGAAGTTGTTAACAATCCCAATCTCTTCACCATGTATCATGATGCTGCCAATCGGCCCTGGGCTAAGAATCTTTATTTTCTCAATATTGATCTTCAATTCATATTGAAGGCCGCAGTCCTTGACCCTCTGCAGCAAGCGCTTCAGGCTTGTCTATGTCTCTCTTCAAATCAGTTAAAGTTTGATATGTGCACCTCTGCCAGCAGGTGCATATTAATTGTATTTATGTCTTCTTGTTTAATTTATACTTTACCCATTACGTAATGCCCTACCTTGTCCATTATGCTGGTCTTTGTCTTGATGTCTAGTTTATCAGAAATTAATATTGCCAAGTGTTGTTCTTTTTTAATTGCAGTTGGCTTATTTTATCCTTTGATCTATTTTTTTTGCCTACCTTTGTCCTTGTGTCTTTTGTAGACTGTATATTAATAGTAATAATAATAATAATGTTTTCTTTAATCCAGTCCATTATTCTTTTACCTCAATTGGTACATTTAATACATTTACATTCATCAATAAATGTGGTTTTATTGCTGTCATCTTGCCATGCTCTTTCTGTGGCATTGTTGCCAGTTTCTTCCAACTACTCTTCTGTACTGAGTTTATTCTTTTATGGTTTTTCTTATGATTTCTTTCACTGCTATTATTTTAGCATTAATGACTTCTTCTTGTTTTGAGGTGAAAGTTTATTTTCTTTGAGGTTGCCCTGTAAATTAGTATTTTATTCCCAAGCTCAAAACAGTTTATCTTAAAGGTGTCTTAACTTTTTCTCCATTTTGAAGTCTTACTGTTAACCATCTTAAGAACTCTACCTGCATTCAGGGAGTGATCAACACAATGTAAGTTTAATAAGTGGTGACAGAAGCATATAACATGCTATCTTTTTTTTCTGAACTGGGGTGCCAATACTACTGAGATATGTTGCTGTTGTTGTCAGGTGCTTGTGAGTCAAGGACAGCTCAGTGATCCTATAAGCAAATGATAAGAACATTATGCTATCCTGCACCATCCTTACCATCGTTCATATATGTAAGCCTATTGTTATAGTCACTGTCTCAGTCCACCTCCCTGAGGGTCTTCCTCTCTTTTTTGCACTCATACCTTTCCAAATATAGTGTCTGTTTCCAAAGGCTAGCCTCTCCTAACAACATGCCCAAAGTATGAGATAAAGCATCCTTACCTCCAAGGAGCACCCTGGTTGTACTTTTCCCAAAATACACCTGTTTCTTCTCTTGGAAGTCCATCAGATATTCAATACTCTTCTCTAATACCACAACTCAAAGGCATTGATTCTTCTTCTGTGACCCTTAGCCACTACCCAATTTCCAGATGCATATCAAGTAATTGGAAAGACCATGGCTTGAATAAGTTGCACCTTAGTCTTTACAATATATCATTGCTCCTTAGAACTGTGGCAAGCTCCTTAACAGTGGACTCTCTTAATGCAACACATCTTCTGATCTTTTGACTACTGATAGTAAGCATGCTGATTGAGGATCCAAGTAAGATGAAATTGTTGACCACTTCAATCTTTATCTGTTGCATATAGGCCCAGTGGTAAAGATTTTTGTCTTCTTGATGTTGAATCTGTATTGAAGGTTGTAGTCCTTGATCTTCTGCAGCAAATACTTCAAGTTCTCTCTCTTCAAGCAAAGTGTTTCATCTGCATAATGCAGGTTATTGATGAATGTTCCTTTGATCTTGATGTCACACTCCTCTTCATAAAGTCCAGTTTCTTAAATTATTTGCTCAGCATACAGACTGAACAATTATGGAGAAAGGATACTTCCCTGATGCAAATCTTTCTTGATTTTAAACCACACAGTGTTCCCTTGCTTTGTTTGCATGACCACCTCTTGATCTAGGTTTCACATGAACACTATTGAGTGCTTTGGGATTCCCATTCTCAATGTTAGCCATAATAGCCATAATTTGTTGTGAGTCGCACAGTCAAATACCTTTGTACATTAAAAAAAAATCCCCAAATACATTATGCCTGGTATTCTCAGGTTTCAGCCATGATCTATCAGACATCAGCAATGATATCCTTGGTATCATATCCTCTTCTAAGTTCAGCTTGAAATTCTGGCAGTTCTTTGTCAATGTACTTGTTTCAACCATTTTTGGATAATCTCCAGCAAGATTTTACTTGCATGTGATATTAATGGTATTGTTCTAGAATTTCCACATTCTGTTAGATCACCTTTATTAGGAATGCAAACAAATGTGCATCGTTTCCAGTCAGTTGGACTGCTAACTTTCTGCCAAATTTCCTAGCACAGACTAGTAAGTACATCTAGGGCTGTATCTGTTTGTTGAAACATGCCAATCGGTATTGGAGCTGTATTTTTTTGCTACTGCCTTCATCCTTCATTCCATTGATTCTTGAACATATTCTATTCCTAGATTCTTACCACTAGGACCCAAAGCTCCCTAACTAGATTTAAACTAATCTTTTTACTGTTTTAAGAGCTGCCCCAGGACACTTTACATTCTGACACTGCTGAGAATTGAAGTTGGATCTAAAGGTCTCCAGAGGCGCTGGGGTTATGCACGAGAAGAGAAATTCCACTGTTGTTGCTATCGGAGTACGATTCATAGTGACCCTGTTAACAACAGATCTGAACCTAGTCCTACCCTGTGCCATCCTCACACTGACACACGTGGGCCTATGGCTGCAGCCACTGTGTCAATCCACTTGGTCGAGAGTCTTTCTCTCCACCTTTCCAAGCATCATGTTGCAAGGAATAACTTCTCCTAGCAACATGCACAAAATATGTAAGGTGAAGCTTTATCTACAAGGAGCACTCTGGCTGCATCTTCATGGGGGTAAAAAAAACCCTAAGATTTGACCCTTGAATGTCATATGCATTTGAAAATATAATCTCATCTTTACAGCTCTGAACATACCAGTTTTTATTATAACTTCTAATCCAGATGCTGCCATGGACGTGCTCACCAAGTTGTGCCAAGAAATATGGAGAGCAACCACTTGCCCAAATGACTGGAAGAGATCGATATTTGTTCCTATCCCAAAGAAAGGT